AAAAAATTGAGATCGCAATTCTGTTGTCAGGAGACTGAAGCACTCATTTTCCAATTTTAACAAAGAAATTCAACGTAATAAAGGCGTGGTTTTTTCAGAGGGAAAATATCGCATTCGAGTGCAGTTTCGATATCAGTATCGAATGCGATGTTTTCCCTCTGAAAAAACCACGCCTTTAATACGTTGAATTTCTTTGTTAAAATTGGTAAGTGAGTGCTTTATTAGTCTCCTGACAACAGAATTTCGATCTCAAATTTGGAGAAAAATGACGAGTAGCGGAAAGAATAGAACCAATTGATGCGATATATCGCATGCCGTTCTGACACTAAATATGGCGTCCATCGAATGACCTTAAGATGAGTTTAACAGTTAACAGTCTTTACAGTTTAAAAACTTTATTTTAGATTTTTCAAACTTAATTTTTTTTAATTTCAAAAATTTTATCTTTTAAATTTTAGAAATAAAATTTTTAACTTCTAAATTTTAAAATTTTTATTTCTATTTGATTTTTATGTTAATGTTTTCATATTATGTTAATCATTTTTAACAATTTTTTCAGACTCAATAGATCAATAGTGTATATGTACTATAAACATAGTAGTAGTGAGTATATGGTGAGTAGTATAGTAAGTAAATCAGTATAGTAAGTATAGTAAGTACAGTAAGTAAATAAGTATAGTATGAGTAATAAGTAAGTATATAGTTGTGGTAATAGTAATATATGTGTACTATTGACCTATTGAGTATGAATAGATTCGAAAAATGATTTGAAACATTAAAATAAAAATCAAATTGAAAAGTTAAAATCTTAAAATTTATAAAGTAAAAATTTAAATCTAAAATTTGAAAGATAAAAATTTTAAAATGAAAAAAAAATAAAAAATAAGTTTGTAAATTGTAGAGGATATAAATTTTAAACATTAAATTTTGTGACAGTAGAAGTTATGAATCGTACGGTGTACTCACGGATTAGAACCTGCAGTATAAGTGTTGCAATTCCAGTATCTGACTGCACTACACCACTACACCACTACAACACAACACAACATCACTGACCCACTGGCCTGCTTACCCATTGAACCACTTCACTTACTGAACCCAAACTGACTGAAATTAGGGGTTGGGGTTTCCCTTTTATAAGCTCGTATCCTGTTTGTCTGTATCCACCACAAACGATCCCATCCACCCTCCCTTGCTGACCCCTCTAGCAATTAGGGTGTATTCCAGAAACTTCCAGAAACTTTTTCCTGTTTTCCAGTGGCGGAAAACTCGAACTTTACGGATTTTAGGGAGGGGTTTAGCATCCCATCGTAAACATCATTAGTCAGGTGGTGCGTAGGGAGGGGTCCTTTGTTCCACTGCGAGGTGGATGATGGACCTCATGTGCGTCATTGTAATCAGGACATGGAAATCCCCTGTTTTGTTTCTTTGGCGGTGGCGGTCCTTTGGGCTGCGAAACAATGAAAGAGGGTTAACTTTTGTAAACAGGAAAAAGAACACGGAAATAAATTATTTCGGAGACGTCCTTTACAGTGAAACAGCAAAAAATACTGAACTACAAAAAAAGAGAGGGGGGGGGGCAAAGAACAGAAAAAACCTCTAAGTGAACTGCGTAGTGCGTAGTTCCACAAACAAAAGCGGTGCGTGTCACGATAATATTAGTATTATTTTTGGGTAAGGTATGGTATGAATATTTTTCTATTAAATATTTAGATAGTTTTGATGAAATCGCGATTAAAATTCATAGGCAAATGGAGAATTCGCAGGTGTCTGATATTTTATGAATTTCGTGTTTAAGTGGAAACTACTGAGTGAACTGAACACGAGGATGCCCTTGGTTCATAAATTGAACAAATATTGGTAAAGATATGCATGACAAAATACAATCTGCTAAAATACATGTGTTTAAGAGGGAAATGCCGCCAGATGACGTCACTAGGTGGTGCATTTCTCACTTTTAAATTTATTTTTATACTATTTCCCATCGCAGAAAATTTTTGTAAGAAATATTGCAAAATCAGCTCTTTAGGCACTTTCAGATGAAGCAATAAAAAACTTGCGTGCAAATTCTCCATTGCGGGGAAAAATCACAAATTTCCCATGAAATTTCCGTTTTATTTTATCACACGAATTTTGGCAACGTCCGAGGGCTCATAAGACGTTCTCTCGCAAGACAAGGTTCGGTCTGACGGGATTTGAGTATCGACCTCAAACATTTTTTCTGCCGATTAATTTTTCCGGCTATCGATGAGAGATATTCTCCAGCTAAACCCGCTCTCCCTAGATCAGGGTGTCTACAGGTCCGGAAAACCCGGAGATTACTGCTTTTTTTAGAGTGGCTCGGAAGCACTCATAATGCGTGGTTTTTAAAGACAGCCTGGAAAGTATGCAATCTCTTGCGCATCAATTCTTAGTCCACCTGAGATTTCACCTTCAATTTTCCGCATAAGGATGGAAACCTACCGAGAAGCTCGAATAGTTTTCTATTCTAAGAGAGCAAATTTATCTCGCATAATAAGCTTCAATCAATAGAGAATATGCAGGTGTTTTAAATTTTGTGATTTTCATCTTGAAAATTGAGTACGAGAATATCTTTGGTTTCTGAATCGAACAATTATTGGAGAACATATCGACGGTTTAAGTCGGAAATCACATAACTCGATTTTTGGCGGTTTTGAGTACCACACCACGTGTACTATGTTTTTTCACGAATAATAATATAAATAATAATAAAAAAAAAGGCAGCCAAACGCTATTAGCATGTTTCCTTACATTTATCGCTTTAAGGAAGAAGAAAGAAAAGAAAAAACTCACTTTTTAAATGAAAATTCTAGAGGGATCACCCTATGAAAGAGCGCAAAAAACCTTCTGGACCACAGAGGTGGCGTGAGAATTTACTTAAAGAAACTTTTTATAAAAAGAAATAGAAAAGTTTTAATAGAAATAAAACGTTTTTTTAAGAAATTTTGTATAAGAATTACTGGAAATGGCTCTGTTGAACAAGAAGTATTTTTTTTTTTTTTTTTTTTTTTTTTTTTATTTATTAAACATATCAACTTCTGTACAGAAATAAGATATTTAGATGTAACTTAAAAATGAATAACGGTTATCGACTGAAAATATATACAATTATACAGACTTTTTCCTAACTTGGATGCCCTGCTGGGACGAGCATCGCAGAGCCCATAGAGAACGGTATAGTTCCCGGTATCTGTGGTGTCCGACCCCGAACAACCGGAACAGCATTATACTAACCACACAGTGATGAGTATAAACCTAACATTTAACAGTGAAATTTTGATACCATATACTTTGTACAGGAAAGGAAAAAAGAGAAGAAAAAAAAAATTAAGACATACTAAGAATAATACCAAACATATCACTATAGTTTAAAGCCACCCTCAATCAAGGGATTTTACGATGATATATGGGGGTTAATCGGGTACTACGGTTGCCAGCTCAAAGGGTTTGCGCCTTCTGAGCCTCCGTAGTTCCTCACTGTTATCTAGTAATCTGATGGCTTCCTCATTAGGATGGGCCAAAAGTCGTTCTTCGTAGAACAAGAAGTATAACGACGGTGAAACTACCAGATCATGTATCTCGGTTTGCGACGTTGTGGACTTCCAGTCGTACGTTCTTTTTTAAATGGAAAACTACTCAACGTCAATTCTTGGTATCTTCCGTGTTTTTTCTACATTGCAAACGAAGTATGTGGTCTGGTAGTTTCGCCATCGATAAGTTGAATGCGCTTGTAGCGAGCACTGATTTGACGAGGAACGCTAGCGCGCCTTCATTTTCTGTGTATGCAATACGCACATCCGCTGAGCAGGTATAGTGGCATCACGGCGCGGCGCTGCGCTGCTACTGTTATTGTGTCGCGCACAATGGAGTTAGAGGCGTCTAGCCTAAACGCACCTCTGCTTTCGAATGAAACGCGTTAATCCTTTCATTCTCATTAGAGTATCGTCTGTATCGTTATTATACATCTCTACACTACTTTTATATTTTATAACGGCTTAGATCATCATTCTTCTGATACAAAGGGAGGCAGTAAGGAATTATTCATTCCTACCTCATGCATCCACGAAGGCACCTTTATTCACATATAGAAACACTAATGAATCAAATCGTGGTTTCCTGGACGAAAGAACGTAAATCCATTCCAACGTTGCAAAATTCACTTAAACAATTCAATTTTTTACAAGAGCAAAACTAAGAAATTTTTTCCAAAAATTTGTCTGCCCTATAGTAGCAACGAGTGTTTAAAAAAACCTTTGAAATGCTCTTAAATTTTAAAAAGAGAATTCTTAAAAAAATGTTAAAATTCTCTTATGTCGGGAATTTGTCATTTTTTAAAGTAAAATTTACGGACGGTAAAATTTGCGTGAAAAAGTGTTCAAAAAACTCTTAATATATCAACTGTACTGTTTCGACGCTAAAAACGTTTGAAATAAATTCTAATAAACTACAGGGATATTTTATGAGTTTTTGTTTAACACTTTTTGCCCTAAATTTTGCTTCTTGTAAATTTTACTTTATATAATAATATCCAAAAGAGGTTTCCTAGTACCTACGAAAATTTATCAGTTTCTTAAGAGTTTTTGAGGAATGTGTTTAAAGGTCATCGCAACCAGGGTGATTTTCTCAGGAGATCAAGAGAAAAATCAGTGAAATTTTCAATTAGAAATGCCCGAGATTTCCCGGGCAAAAATGCAATTTGCGAGGGAAAATTAGGCAACATTAAAATGTAGTTGCGTTCTTTCGTGAGGGAACGAAGTGTCTCTATAATGAGCAAGAAACAGTGATTCCTCACTTCAAAATGTGGCCCAAGGAAGAATGACGAGTGATGAGCTCATCAAACTCTGTGTTCATGATGTCTGAGACACGAGAAAAAGGAAATAACTGCAATTCGATGTTTCATTGACGCTCTCCGTTTCTCCCAGAGATAAATGGGTCAAAGGTAAAGTTCATTATTACGAGCGGAGATAATGACATTCAATTTTGTTGAATGTCTCAGTGATGATGCACGATTTTCTCGAGCACAAAGAAATAAGTGTGCTCAATCTCCGATTTAGGTTAATTTTTCCGGGGTAATTTTAATGAATTTTACACGTAGCGAAGTAACGCGTTCGTATAATTTCCAGTGTCCGCTCGGGTTTTATTTAAAACAAATAAAAAATATCATCATTTTTAAATCATTTAAAAAATACACGAGTGAAACGTATCAACTCGATAAATTTTAGTCTGAGGTGATGTGGAGAGTGGTGTTTCTGTTTCGGTGAACTGCCTTCTCAGCTGCATGGTCCACTAGTCTATTCACGTGGACGTACACTGAAGAAATTCTTTCTTGAGATATTATTTTGACTCAAGGGGTCGTTTCTTGTCGACAAAAGTTGTTTTCTCTAGTTAAACCCGTGCGGATTTGACTTAAAGTCAGTTTTTTTAGTTGAAGAAACGTTGCTTTGCTATTGTTTTTTGTTTACCTTAAACTTAAAAGCAACAAAGCGACGCTTCCTAAACTAAAAAAAAAAACTGATTTTAAGTTCAACCCGCACGAATTAAACTCAAAACACCAATCAAAATAATATCTGAAGAAAAAAATTTTTAGTGTACAGTTTGAGGAAAACCCCTTCAAAGGAGTTTCGCAAAAGTGCTGTTTTGAATCGGCAAGTTAAGTGGGTGGGGATGGGGAGATAACGAAAACTACGGAAATTTTGGAACACTTGAAATTCATTCTTCCCTTTGAATTTGAAACTTTAAAGATACCTGAGCGACTGTATGGTTTAATTCTCTGTAACCGAGCCCAAACCAAAATATGCGAAAGCACAAAGTTGCGAGTCAGTTAAATTATTTTTGGTGGTTAAAGTATCTGTGAACAGTTGCTTCCTGACGATTTCGAAATGGAGAAGCTTAACTACTATGTTTTGTGTTTTCTGCTGCTGACAAGTTATTCCGCGTCCGATGTGCAGAAAGATGGTAAGCAGTTATGCTTTTTATGGGGCTTTTTAAGTAACCGAAGTCTGTTGGCAGTTTGATGGTTTGGAGGATCTCTACCCTAACAGATTCCTGTGGCGGGTAGGCGTCGCAGAGCGCCCTAGCGCGCCGTAAAAGCGACTCATACATGCATACATACATGTTTGATGGCAATCCAAATGCCTTCAAATAACATGAACTGGAAAAACAAATACCTCGATGTGCGAGGCTGTGCAATATCCATTCGCTGTTGCCACGCCTCATTATAATGAAGCTGACTCAAATATTACTGTCACATATTTTTTACGATACATATGCTAGTCTCATCGTTCCCGCCATTTACCCACGTGACCAAAAGCTCTCATAATTTCATTAAATACATTTTCCTTCTTCAGCATTGCAGTATGAGCAAAAATATTGAAGCGCTGGAATCAAGGAACGTGCTTTCATAATTTTGACCATGACTATTATTTTTAACCTTCAACTTGAAAGTTTCAAGTAGACTACCTACTTCCTTGATAAATCATCTCCTCACTCTTGAATTTTCCAATGATTGAATGATAATACATCAATTCAATACGATTGCATTGTCGTCGCGCGATTTGCTATGAAGAGATGTGCATGTAGCTTAATTTATTTGCTGCACGCTTGATTGCAAAGCGTGCAAATCGATGGTAATGCTGGAGAGCTCTAAAGTGGTTTGTGACATTGCAAACTTCCTGTAAAATTCAATTCTATTTATGAAATAACGACTCTTTGTCTGTTCGATAGGATGAGGGTTTTTTTTTTTAACTACCTCTCGAAAACGACACTTAAATCATTCCCCTTGAAACCAACTCTTAAGCTACTAACACTCGTATTTTCACGATGATGTTCCGTATCTAAAATTGTTATTTAAGTTTATTTTTAGAGGAGGCAGACTTTTTTTAGATGACGAATTTCAGCAATATAAAAAGGCACGAATCAACCCCGAGAGAACACAATTTTCAAACCTNGGGGGGGGGGGGGGGGGGGGCACCGCCCTCTTCAAAAAAGACTGATCGGTAGTGGGTTCAGTTTTCCGTGGAATTTCATTGCTGTGAGAGTTACATTGAATTTCATAGAGGTTCGGTATTAGGAGTTGAGGGTCGTATTCTGCTGTGCTAAGGGAATACGCCGTATGGGCCTCCAGGCGTTGCCAAATTTCTCCTGGGAAATCACTAATTTTGAGGAAACTTTTTGAATATTTTTCTATCAATTTCTCAGATGATTTCTTCGTAATATGATCCAAAGTGTCTGAAAATTTCAAGAAAAAATATTCATAAGTTTCCTATAAATAAACATTTTATTCAAGGAAATTCGGCAACTCTCGAATGATCATACGGCGTTCTTCCTTAGCACGGTAATTCATGGTCGTTCCTTAAGCTGTTCCTTTACATAGGGGGTCTCATGGTTTTCATTGTGCTTGAAGGAGAATCAAGGAAGCCCTCAAAATAGCATTATAAAAAGGACTAGTCCACGAGAGATCCCATATCTAGTCCATTATGTTCCCTATTGGTCCATATCGACCATCCGTTTAAACCAATACGATTAATCCATTTTCCCTTTGTCTGTAAATTTTAATAATCAGCCAACAAGAGCGCACGAAACATCCTGGAAACGGATAAAATTGTATTTTGAAATTTTGAAAACAAAAATATCTTGAGTCGAGCTTCAAAGTCGCTTCTCGAGTTCTCGGTATTTTATGATGTGCACACTCAGAGTCGAATTCGTAGACATTCTTTAAACAGCTTCTTGCCTTTGGTGGCCCTTGGGAGGGGGAATTAACCCTCAAAATATCACCATTAAAAGGGAAATTTTTGCAAACATCGAGAAACATTCAGCAGTATAACTTAGGAAATGGACCCTTGCAAGGGATTACAGTGCAAAAAGTATAAAATACGAAACAGAAAATTCCATGATTTTAACAAACTTTAAAGTAGGTGCCAACCTACCTTAATATTCACGAAACTTGCAACATATTTTTTATCGTATTTTTTACTTTTTGCGGGAAAACATCACTGTAAACACTAGCGAGGATCCATTTTCAAAATCATACTGCAGAATTTTCCGCAGAGTCCTGATTCTATTAAAAAAGTTTGAAGAAACTTTGCGTCTCGGGAGAAGTCCCATTCTGCCATGCTCAGGGAAAACGTCGTATGAGCCTTAGGCATCGCCTTTCTTCTGGCAAATCACTAATTTTCAGGAAAATTTCTGAATATTTTTTTGTCGACTTCTCAGAAAATTTTCTCTATAATTTGATCAAAAAAGTCTGAAAATTTCAAGAAAAAATGGACCGCGTTTCACTGAAAGGAACCAAGCCACCTCAGCTATTGCCAATGTTAACTAAGTAATTTAACTTTTTACGCGAAAACGTTTGTGCGGATCCCTTTGAAAATGTTGAGGAATTTGCTTCGTACTATGGAGAAAATTCACCGAAATTTGCACGAAAATCCGCGCGACTGTTTTCATGTAAAAAATTAAATTAGCCGATTAAATGTGACAATAGCTGATGTGGCTTGCTTCCTTTCTGTTTAACGCGGTCCGAATATTCATAAATTTCCTCTAAAATAAACATTTTATCGGAGGAAATTTGGCAACTCTCGAATGTTCATACGGCGTTCTTCCTTAACACGGGAGCATTCTATCCCTGGATCTGGCTCGAGCGTTTATCGAGCGATCTCGATCAGCGGCGTGGCGTGAACGATCGATTATCGATATCTCGCCATTTGCAGCTATGGAAAGAATCGATTATCAGGGTGCTCGCTACGAACACCCTGATAATCAATCTTTTTTCATAGGTTTGAGTGGCGTATCAATCGATATATCGCAAAGCACGCCACGCCACTTATCTCGATGTATAGATTTCTTTGTATGTTGTGGGTGATTAGTTTTGATTTGGTCGGGCAGGGAAAGCGGAAACAGCGGCGGAGGCGGAGGCGCGACTCAATCGGCTGAGCGAGGAAGTTCGGGCCGTCCTGGAGCACTACAAGGACCCGGATCCCGTGGGACTCCCCAATGACCCCGTCCCGGACCCGATGCCGATCCCGGACATAAAACACTCCTTCTCTCTCCACACCATGACCCTCCGCAACATCACCGTCCACGGCCTCTCCAAGTTCCGCATCGACAACGCCTTCTCCGATCTCGTCGACATGCAGGTAAATCACACGTGGATGTGGATCCCAGTGGCGTAGACACACTGAAAAAAAAAAAATCTTGGTGTATTTACGAAGAAAAAAGTACAATTACCAAAAATTCAGGGTTCTATTTGATCTCGGTTTTTTCTTGGTAAAATTACCATTTATGGAATGGTAAAATCATTGAACTTTCTCGGTAATTTTACTGGACCTTGGTAAAAACGCCAATATTTTTTATCGACTGTGGTAGAATTACCGAGATAAAATGGCAAAGTTACCGGGAATTGATTACCAATAAAAGTTGTATTGTTACCTGAAAAAAACGGTAAAAATACCGGTTTTTAGGTAAGCTTACCAGTCAGTCTTGGTAAAATTACCAATAATTGGTAAAAAAAAGTGAGATGGTAAAGGTACCAACGGACCTTGGTAAAAACGCCGAGAATTTTTTTGCAGTGCAAGGGGAGCCCCCTAGAAAAGCCTGTGTGGATCATAAATTTCAAAAAGTCTAGAAATCACTAGATCTAAAGAACTTTTTGAGAACTAAATTCTGACAAAATGGAACGATAATCAGCTCCCTGCTAAAATTGATGAGTAGGCTATTCAGAATTCGCCGACTCACATGAGTAAAATTTCCTACTTACATGAGTAAAAATCCTACTCATGTCACTAGAATATTCTACTCATAAGAGTAGAAAAGTTCAACTCATGAATTCAATTTTGTTCATTTTTCCGACGTGGTGTTTTTGTCTAGGAGACACCGACATACTATGTAAATTTGAAAAATAAGAACAGTTTGTTCTTATACTTTTTTTGATGCGGTGACTAGTTTCTGAGATATCGGACCCGGTAGATTCAACGCTGAACTCATGTGAGTTGAAATCTCTGTCATATGAGTTGGAATTTCTAGTCATATGAGTCGGCGAAAAGTGAATAGAAAAATTCTGCTCATATGAGTTAAATTCTATTCATATAAATTGAAATTCTATTCATATGATTTTGATTTTCTACTCATTTGTACTCACCATTTTTTAGCGGGGAGCGTCCGCGATTTAAGTGTTAAACGAAATATAGACGCAAAAATTAAATGAATTATTCCTACTTTGAGGGTTACGGAAAGAAGGCCGACGCAAGCTTTTACTTATATACGAGCCACCATTGAATCTCACAGTCTCACACCTTAAGAAGTCCTCCATATCATCAGTAATACGTCGTTCAATTTCTAACTACAGAGTTTCCACTTTGAACCATGAACATTTTCAGTTGACTACCTGCGTTTTTTTTAAAGGATATTTCTCAGTGTGAGTGTATGTCTTCGCTAAGAATTAGAATTTTCGTTCAAAACACACAGAGCTGTTCCTCTTATGCGCAATATTCTGAAGTGGCTCCTCTGTCGACTCTCAAAAGCACTTGATATCCATCACCTATCTCCGATTGAGCACGTGCATTTTTATAGTGCGTTGACTGCGCATTCACTCTATGACAAAGTTACTTGAACTAATTTCTCATAATTATCGATTTCATAGCGGTTTACGTTTGCATGCGTCGTTTAGAACCGTCTGTCGTATTTCGTTTCTGAAATAATGTTAGGCATCAGTTCTTTCACAAGGCTTGTTCTATAAAAATTTTCACTGTGAGGAAAATATTTAACGATCATTTCGAGCAATAACATGCGATTTTTAGGTTCCTCTCTCATTCGAAAAACATTTAAGTGAAGAGATACCGAGCGCTAAATGGAGCGCGTTCAGCAGAAAAGAGCCAAGCAACATCAGCTATTGTCAAATTTGATTGGGCGATTAAATTTTCAACATGAAAACGGTTGTGCGGAATTTTGTGCAAATTTTAGTGAATTTTCTGCTTAGTACGAAGCAAATTCTTTATGATTTCCAAAGGAATCCGCACAAACGTTCTCTAGTAAAAAATTAAAATTGTCCAGTTAAGTTTGGCAATAGCTGATGCGGCTTGGTTCCTTTCTGCTAAACGCGGTTCATTTGCATGGAAGAATGTCCTTGGCAAAAACCGAATTACACATACCTAGATGTGCGGAGTCGCAGATTTCTTATCAAAATATTTTCGAGATGAACAGAATCAGCCTAACTACATCAGACGATCAGATAATTCAGACCATTAGATAATTCTCAGACATCAGATAATTTTCCAATTTTCCGTATTTTTTATTTTTTAAACAGAAAATGAAGCAACACTGAATAAGTAAAAAATTAAATTGCAATAGCTGATGTGGCGTGGTTCTTTTCTGCAGAACGCCATCCAAATTCAGTCGAACATCATAAAGTGCAAAACCACTTGGTTCAATACACAAAAAAACGAATAACCACATCGATGATCTATCAATGATCTGAGCGTGATGGGAGTAAAATAAAATGGAAATTATTTTATAATAATACTTTTTACACATTATGAAAAATGTTTTTTTTTTTTTACAGCTTCAATCAAATATGTCAATAGTTGAAGATGTCAATTCAGCTTAATATTTATTTCACTTCTTTTCACTTAAAATATGTTGAATTTTTTCATTTACGCAAGATTTATGGTAGACTTTCTAACGCCTCTTCAAAACATTATACCTATGTTAGTTTCAAAAAATAGGCAAGAAGTTAAAATTATCCATAGTATGCGAACATTGCACCAAGCATCGTGTAACTAACTCCTGCTGCACTTCAGTTCCCGCGTGTGTACGATCACTTGCATACTCTATATATTGCAGGCGTTTTGAGGCGTCGTTTAAAACACAAGCTTGATGCTCTTAGATATGGTGCATACTCTTCGGCCATTGAGGATAAAGTGTCGGTTGCAACGAGAGAAAAATAGTTATGATTTAGACTGATTTAGTCTTAAGCGGCAAAATTGATAAGATGGAAAGCCGCTTAAGTCCGTAAGTCGACATTTCTCTCGGTCCCTAGACAGTTCAACTTAGCGAGATTGTGATTACGCGTACAGTGGAAATAGGATATTACGACATCGGTTATAACAACATATCGGTCATAACGAAGTGCGATTTGGTCGTACCCGTGATTGACTTCCCATTGACTCAGTGTATTTTTGCATCGGTTACAACGACAATCGGATATAACGACCAAATTAGGCCGGTCCCTAGAGGGTCGTTGTATCCGATTTCTACCCAGGTACAAATTGGCGATAAGAGCTGCGTTTCAAAATACCATAGGAATTCTTATAGCTGGCTAAAGAAGGCTACAGAAAATCATATAGCTGGCTGTAGAATGCGGAGAAAATCATACGGCCGGGCTATACGAAGCGATAAAAAATTATGCAGCCGGGCTAAAAATCCTATCGCCGGGCTTTACACTTTATCGCTGTTGCTTTTTCGCCATCGATTATAAAAGGCTATAAGAAATTGTGCAGAAATTCGTGTGCTTTGGAAATCATTAAGTTTGGTACGGAACCACCTTAATATTTACAAAACACACATTATATTTTCCTTTAATACAATTTTTTTTTTTTCATTAATTAAAATGAGAATAATCCATACAGGATGTGCAAACATTTCAAAATCATGAGTTGAATAACGCTGACTCCGCCAGATTAAATATTAGAGCCTAACACAAAGCGGAGCGGCGACGCACTGGCGCCTTCAAACCTAACAGAGATACTTCACGCATTGCGCAACGCGTGAAGTATCCCTGTTAGGTTTCTAGACGCCAATGCGTGTTTCGCGCTGGCTGCCCGCCTGCCACGGCACTTGAAGCAACTATTTCACACCAGAGGTATTGCACAGTATCATACGAAACTGAGGGTGCTCTAATATATTAGTAATGGTAGGCGTCCATCAAAAGTACGGAACTTTCCTCGCAAAATAAATCAAGATACTACGGCCCAAAAAGAGAGCAGTAGTCCAAAAACTCACAAAGTCCTAGCATCCGTAATTAGTAACGTTCAGTATACACTTACTCGCCTGGCTGTTGCTTAATCGCTATCGACTATAAAAAGCTATAAGAAATTGTGTAGCCGGCTATAGAAGCTATTGGAAATCTTATGCAGCCGGCTGTAGGTCTATGGTATTTTGGAACACAGATTCTACTGCAGATTTTTACCAGGGCACTGTATCTTAAAATTTTCAGTCCATCATAAAATACAATTTGTTTTAAAATGTTAACATTCAAGTACGTGGTCATTTGGTTTCTTAACCACAATTGGAAATTCTGGTTAAGAAACTTGTATCAGAATACTTAAATTAGTACCTTGTCCAGTAGGTCATTTCCTGCGACCAATTCAAAATAACCATTTGTTTTCATTTTCACCAGGTATCGATGGGCGTGAAAATGGACAACCTCATGGTTTTCGGGAACCACACGATATCGACATGGCTATCATCCTCCTCGGGTGGTTTCAACGTCACGCTAGTCGGGATCTACATCGAGGCGATTGCCATGTTGGAGGTTGCCCGGGGTGGGTACTTGGAGGCGACCGACATCAAGATGGACATCGTCTTCCAGGACATCGAGATGGACTTCCAGAACCTCGGGCTCATGGGCTCATTCTTCCAGGGCATGATCAACACGGTTGGCACGTTCATCTTCGACAGCATCAAACCTTACATCCTCTCGCAGATTAACCTCCAGGTGAGAAGAACATAATTAAATTACGGCCGAATAGTTGAAATAGCAGCATGATAGAACAGTGCTGGGCACTATATTTTCGAGCGGAAAGCAAACCTGAAATTAAATCAAACATTAACTTTTGAAGCAAAATTGAGGTGCATTGAAAATGTCATAGCCCTCCCCCCATTTTGACTGCTGCCACCTCCCTAAATTTTGCGGCACAAAATAGCACAGAATCATGGCATTCTTTTTTCCAGAAATTCGAAAGTATGGGGCAGCAGTTTCTTTAGCCCCTGAATTTTCCCCCTTATAATTTTGCAGCACACAATTATAAATTTGCGGCACAAAGTGGTACAAAATTATGATATAATTTTTTTCTTGAAAAGTGGAGGGCTGTAGAAATGAAGTCCCGCTGAAAGACCGCTACCGATTTATCAGTGAGACCCCGGCAAGACATTTTCAATGCACTTTCCTGAGCTGTATTCAGTATGCGCCCACCCTTCAGTTTTGCACCGGAACGAGATAAAGTTTTATCCTTTTCTTTTTTTTTTTTTCAATCCAGAATTCTAATTTTTAATTTTTCTGGACTTTGTTTTCTCCAATGAACAGTCTGCACCCAGCATTATTCTACCCTCCTGTTCATTCAGATAAGTTAAGGATACATCTGACTATATACCAACAAAAGCTTAGTTAGATTTAAGCTGGATCATGGAAAGCTTTCAAAGATGAGGCTCTCTGAGCCGAAAATGACGGCAAAATGAGCTACATCGAATTTGAATGGTTGTCTTGGTGTCACACGATTCTTTTCTAATGCCTCTATCCTGCGCCTTGATGTGCTTATGGAAAAGTACTTGTTCATCTGGATACCACTATTCGAACTCCTGGGAGCCTGTGTTGCCTATATTGTCAATTGAAGGCGATTCTGCCTGCTAGAAAGCGCTTGTGTTCGTTGCGAACACCCTCATTATCGATCCTTTTCCATAGGTTCAAATGACAAATCAATCAATAAATCGCAAAGCATGCCACGCCGCTGATAAAAACGTCCAAATACACACCGTATTGCTCCTTGCACGGAGAAAAAAACTTGGTGCATGGGATTCGAAGTTGGGGTAATATGGATCTCTGAAATTTTCGGATCACGCATCCGAAAACTTGCGGTTCAACTGCTGAAGTTCGGGTCAGACATAGACAAAGAGTCTACTTCCATTAAAGATGTCATTTTAGCAAATCTTAAAATGGAGGAGAAGAGGAAGAAGTGACTAAACAAAGAGATAAAATAGGGAGAATGGAAAGAGGATGGTATAGAAGGAGAAAAGGAAAAGAAGTTGGGGAAGAGAGAAAAAAAGGTCTCTTTATTTGTATCTCCTTTTTCTTCTCCTTCTTCTTCCCTTTTTCTTCTTCCTCTTCCTTCTCTTTCCATCTTTCCTTTTCACATTCGTCTTCTCCTTCTCCCAATTTCCAATGCGCCCCCATCTAAAATTGGACGTATTTCTGTTAAACGGAACCAAATCGAGTTCCTTTTGAGGATTTTAGAATCCCGGATAGCGCGATCTGTCAAACGGAACTAAGCGCCATGGAAAAGCATTGCGAGTATAGGACGGAACGAGCATCGCGTTCCGCAAAACCCGCCAATCCGAGCCCCCCTCTCCCTTCCTCCCCCGATGGCGCTTAGTTCCGTTTGATAGAAATACGTCCAATATGTCCAGGATCCAAGACTGTCAAACTGTGGGGTCAACTTTCACTTCTCAGCTTTTTCCTACGCTCCTGTGTTTATCCCTTCCAGGCGGGCATCAACAAGAACCTCCGCGACATCCCTCAGACGTTCCCGAACTCGATACCGCCCCTGGACCTGGCCGTGGCCGAGGGTCGCAAATACGTGCGCGGGAAAGGCTTCGACCCTTACAAGATCGCCGACTACCACTACTCCTCGCACCTCCTCACCCTGGACATCACTCACACCTGGCTCTACGGCCTGGCGTCCTTCTACCGGGTCGGCAACATCACCGCCCAGATGGAGAAGAACGCCCTCGACATCGTCGTCCACGTCGGGACACAGAAGCTCGAGGGCACGTGCCAATGGGAGGCCTCGACTTTGATGAGCTTCTTGTCCAAGAACGGGATGACGAGCTTCTCCATCGACTATTTTCACGTCTACGCGAGGATCAACCAGACTTTGGACACGAGGAATCATCCCATGTTAACGGACTTACAGGTGAGTTCCTCGTTGTCAGTCCTATGCTGCCGTGCTAAGGAAAAACGCCGTATGAACCTTCAAACGTTGCCAAATTTCCTCTGACAAATCACTAATTTTCGGGAAAATTTTTGAATATTTTTCTGCCAATTTCTCAGATAATTTTGTTCGTAGTATGATCTAAAGTGTCTGAAAATTTCAAGGAAAAATATTCATAATTTTCCTCAAAAATAAACATTTTATCGAATGAAATTTGGCAACTCTCGAATGTTCATACGGCGTTCTTCCTTAGCACGGCGGTATGGGTCACTTTAGAGTCCCTTTATTCAGAGTCAAGGCAATATGTGAATCCATTTCTGATTGGTTACCGTATTTTAGGCCTCCCCAGTGTCACAAACGGGAATAAAGATTACATTTTCACCAATTGCAAAGATTATAATCTGGAATGGACCGAGGAATCACGGGTTCGACAAGGAACAAACAGAATGAGAGAAGGAGCGGAGAAAGGAATCTGAGAATTGGTCGATCAAAGATTACGAAAAACGTTCAATTTGTGTAATCTTTATTCCCGTTCGTGACTCCATGAGGGGGTGTTGTCTTAACTCGCAGTATAAAGGGACTCTAGGTCACTTCTGCTGGTCACAGAATCGTGTATTGATGCTTGATTCTTGTAGATCAGCCAAAAGTAACGAGTATATCGTGATTTGAAAAATTCTGTTTATGACGTCATTCATCGCGGTAGTGACACCCTCGGTTCCTTCCACCTTTGCTTTCATCCGAGTTACACATGTAACCAGAGCAAAAGTGTGTTTCCCTGACAAATAAAAGCAAGGTGAAAGAACCAAGAGTGTCTCTACCGCCGTGGATGACCTCGTAAACCGAATTTTTTAAAGCGCGATAGCTCCATTAACATAAAGAGTTGCTATTTGGAGAGATATTATTATTTTTAGCTAATCCAATGAAAGATTCAAGCACCAAAACACGATTCTGTGACAAGCGCAACTAACCCATTGCATTTCTAGTTTCCCAATTTTCTCTCGTGATTTATTTTTTTTAAACAGATAACTAAGGTATTTAACGCCTGCAAACTTTTTGTAAATCCACCCTCGAAGTCGATTACGAAAAATATACTCATAAAACTGTAAGTTTCAGCCTTGCTTAGTTTCCTGTTTCGAAATATATAATATCAGAAAAAAGAAGAGAGCCTCTCATTTGGTCAGAACGCTTCCTGTTAAATCCGTCATGATCAATAATATAAAAAAAAATAGTTTGAAACAGGAAAAGTCTACGATCTAAAGATTTTTTTTATGATCTTCACAAAAATTTATTTTACTTGAGAACGTTTGTTTGAATTAAAGAGAAGTTTTCTCCTCAATTCAAATGAAAGAAATGTAGGAAGCTATGAGAAATTTAAGCTACTTACGATTTGAATAAAACATTTAAATCGAACGAAATTCTCTCCCTGGCAAATCATCCTCCAATATAACAAATTTACTTTCAAATTATCCGATCTGTAATTGAACTTGGATTATTATTAACTGATTAAGAGACAAAGGTGCTTTGAGTTATATCCTCACTGCTGAGCGAAATGAAATTCTGTTTCAATTTTACAAGGCAGGCAAAATGAACTACAACGAATTTGAATGGTGATCCTGGTGTCATGCGATTTTATTCTAGTGCCTCTATCTTGCGCCTTGATGTGCTTATGGTAAAGTACTTGTTCAGCTGGATACCACTATTCGAACTGCTGGGAGCCTGTGTTGCCTATATTGTCAATTGAAGGCGATTCTGCCTGCTAGAAAGCGCTTGTGTGAGAGGATTTCTGTACAATGTTTCAATAACATTCGTATCATTGCTCCCTGTTTCTGCTTGTGTAACATTAATTACACGTGTTTCTAAAAAACACGTCCGTAGAAACATGTATTCGCAGCCATGAGTCATAAAAACCCATTAATTGCATGTCTCAGACCACGTCTGATAGCTACCAGTGGCGTAACGTGCTTTGCGATCTATCGATTGATCTGCCATTTAAACCTTTGGTAAAGACTTGATTATTAAGACGTTCGTTGCGGACACCCTCTTTATCGATCCTTTTCCATAGGTTTAATGGACAGATCAATAGATGTAGCAAAGCATGTCACGCCGCTGATAAAAGTGTCCAAATACACACCGTATTGCTCTTTGGATTTGGTAAAAAACGAATAGTACAGAAGACAAAGCATGCATTTAAGCAATCTAATTCATGTTCCTTCACAAAAATTTTACGTGAAAAAAAAATCCGCGCGATGAAAATTGCTAAAATTAACTCTTAACCAATAAAATATTTAATGTTTCTTGACGCGTAAATTCAAACCTCCCGCTCATGAAAAAGCAAAATTTTACGTGAGTTAAATCGTGCTCTAACCGTTTCCGTAAAAATCCTCAGCGACCTGAATCTCGGTGCTTCGGCTCAGTTGTTGCCCATTGTCAACACTTAGAAAAATACAAAGCGCGGAGGGAGCACCACACCATTCTAAGAAACGTGCCAAAACCGTTAGGAAGCGCGATTTGGTCCAAATATAGATATGTATGTCTTCTTGTGAAGGGAGAATTCGAATAGACCGTAACCAATGTAAATTGAAACGTTAACGTCTGAGTTAGAAGTTTGTTTCGCTAGGCGATTCGTGTGCTACGTGAAATTCTGACTCAAAATCATGCATCAGAATGATTTAACTCGTACCTTGTCTACTGATCCACTATCATCGGTTACCGTTTAGTTAAACTTATTCGACTAATTCTAAGTAGTACCAATCAAGTTTACGTTTGGTTAGCTCCTTAATGCAGGATGATCAAGAAGTCCACACCACCAGCACCAGGCATGAGTCCTGTATCTTTTGAATAAAATGAGATAGGGGCATGAGATGAGAGGCTTGAAGGACAAGGGGCATGAGTGCCGTTTTTGAAGAAATTAGGATATCAATGATTTCAAGTAAAATCAGTCTTAAAACATATTCGAATTGAATTCGCTTGTGAAATATTCGCTTCCAAATTCCAATTTTTAAGCATCAAAAAGTCAGTTTGAACTTTCTCTCCGCCATGAGAATCCTTGTAAATTTGAAACTTCAAACACGTATTTCTCGAAATGACAAAATCTGCACTCGTGCGCGCCTTGTCCTTCAAGCCCCTCAAATGTAGTGAGTGCTCCTCACTGGAAAAAAAGTTGCTTGAATCTTGAGTCCAGACTCTTAATGACCTTGACAAGAAAAAATACTCTTGAATCAATCCGATTTTTCCTTGAATCGATGAGCCGAGCCTTTTGATTCAAGCAAAAAATCCGATTTAATCGAGCGTATTTTTTCTTGTCAATGTTTTTAAGAGTCTGGACTCCAGATCCAAGCGACTTTTTTCCAGTGCTTGGTGAAAAGAAAACGACTTCTTGGACCCTTCAAAATTTAAGGGGGATCTCCTTGAGAAGGGGCAAGGACCCTATGGTTTACAGGGGTGGTGCGTGAGTTTTGAATCACCCTGTATAACCCAAATTCTGTTACAGCTCAAACTGGGGAACATCCAGCTGCGAATGGAGGGAACGGGAACGCTGGACTACGTTCTGGAGTTGCTGGTGAACGTGCTGCCCAACGTTTTGCGGTATCAGATCATGGACGCCGTGGAGATCCCGTTGAAGAGGCGGATTCAGGAGATCCTCAATTCCATTGACGTTTCCAAGTTGATCGAGGAGAATATGAATAATCTGGTGGCGTCCAAGAAGAACAGGACGGATGTCCAGTCCGTCACCTCGAAGCCTTTCGACGAGGAGGGTCTGGTCATACACGGCAAAGCTTTGAACGAGGACATGAACCAGAATGTGAGCATTATTGCTAGGTGATGCAGGCATCGGTAAATTATGACCGTATCTACAATCTTGATAACGACCACTGGTAAAAATGTGTGAATTTTAAAAAGTAAACTTTTGATAAGACTAAGTTCAAGTTGTGGTTAGACTCACGAGTCGTTCAGACAGAGGCACTGGCGGATCCAGCATATTAGCAACATTGTCTTTTCTCCGTTTAAATCCAAGGAAATATATCGATTCTTGAGGGAGCCAAGGACTACGACAAAAGTCGATCATTTAGGATAGGTTTAAATGGAGGAAATCCGGTGTTGCCAAATTGCTCGATCCGCCTCTGGAGAGGAAGTGATTTAGCCAACGTATTTTAAAATTCAGTGAAAAATAAAATTCTCATTTTAGCTGGCAAAGGTGTTAAATATAATATATCTTTCAGGGAAAGCCGTGCTCGAATGAGATTTTTCCCTCTTTGGCAAGAAATTCAGTTTTTTACTGGTTTTAATGCACGTTTACTAAATCATCGACACTTACAAAGTCTGTTTAATTGTATGTTTTAAGGAACATTTGTTGGATATTTTTTAGAGTAAAATTTATAATACGTCAAATTTGAGTACAAAAAACTTTGGAGGACCCATAAAAAGGTGACGCCCAGTTTTTTGACCTCAAAATGTTGATAACATGTTAAAAGACTCTGTTTTGCTAGATTAAGTCGCACATTCGTTCAGAGAAATTTCATTTGGTTAGTACCTAAGTTGCTTCAATTCCTCATGCCTTAATTGCATTTCATTGCTTTTTAATTTATTTTGTTTATTTTTACGTCTAAATAATTTTTTTTTACAAATTGATAATCAGCGGAATAAATCAAATTACGATCAGTATTACAGGAAAAAATAGTTTCATTACAAAGTCTGGAAATTTCTCCCTACCCTTTAAATTTGACGTAATTTGTAACACTTACTATGAGTTGATTCGGCCTCAAAGCTGTGCTCAACTTTTTGGTCACTGCTTACACACTTGCAGTAGCATCATCTGGAACAGCAAAATAGATTCATCCACATGAGATCAGAGCACCTTCATCGGGAGAGTAAATACACTGGGCCCCATGGAGGGCTCACGACCCAAAAATGACGGCGCTTTGTTTTTGTTTTTTGAGGACGGGTGGGGTGGGGGATCATTGCCAACTTTTAACGGTTATCACCAACCGCACTTGCTGACAACCTTACTTATATCTATGATAACGAGCATATCCCTTATTTCCCACCTGTCTCTGGTTCTGTTTAGCAGAAAAACGTCCTATTGACAGGCCCGGACCAAGGGCGTGTGCAGGGCGTGCGGCGCACACGGGCGCCAGCCTTTGGGGGGCGCCACGAAAGAAGAAGAGAGGGAAAAAAGGGGGAAAAGGAAAAAAAGGGAAGAAAGGACAAGGGGAAAAAAGGAAAAGGAAACAAGGTTGGGCAGTGAAAGCAAGGAAGAAGGGGGGAAATGGAAGGAAAAAGGAGGCAAGAAAAGTGAAAAGAGAGTCCGCGAGAAAGGGGGGGGGGCATAAAAACCACAGACAAAATATAGAGAGAATTGCCGTCTAGAGGTAAATTTTCAGTGACAAAAACTCCACCTGGTCCATAGACGGTCAGGCGCCCCTTGACCCTAAATTTGCGGCTGTACAGAAATACAAGAGTAGGCATGTAATAAGGGGGCGCCATAAATCCATCGAACAGGAGCCGACATAGCATTTTAGGCCACGTCCGCCATCTTGGATTTGAGAATTTTCAAAAATCGACTAAAAATTCGAGTTTCCCGTCGAAAAGTACCTCTGATCCCGCGGTTCACAAAGCTCTAACGAACAGAAACGGAGGCCAGAACCGGGGCTCATTTTAGGCCACATCCAACATTTTGGAGTTGAGAATTTGAAAAAATTGACTAAAAATTCGAGTTTTCCGTTGAAAAATACTGTGTGATACCGCGTTTCACAAGACTCGAACAAACAGAAACCGAGATAGCATTTTAGCCCACGTCCGCCATCTTGAATTTGAGAATTTTAAAAAATGGACTAAAAATTCGAGTCTCCTGTCGAAAAATACCTCCTGTCACCGAATTTCAGAAAAATTCATCGAACAGGGGCCAAGATAGCATTTTAAGCCATTTCGGATTTTCGAATTTTGAATTTTGACAGAATTTGATTTAAAACGCGTGATGCCCAAAATCGAAGCTCAGATTCGGATTCCTCGTAAAAAATCGATGCGATTTCATGTACCATACCCTGACACCAAATTTCAGGAGAATCCATCAAACAGGAGCCGAGATGGCATTTTAAGCCACTTCAGTAATTTCGGATTTTTGAAGTTGAAACATTTTACTTAAAACGCGTGATACCCAAAATCGAAGTTCAGATTCGGATTCCTCGTAAAAAATCGATGCGATTTCATGTATCATACCCTGACACCAAATTTCAGGAAAATCCGTCGAACAGGAGCCGAGATGGCATTTTAAGCCACGTCAGTCATTTCAGATTTTCGAATTTGGAAAATTTGACTTAAAACGCGTGATACCCAAAATCGAAGTTCAGATTCGGATTCCTCGTTAAAAATTGATACAATTTCATGTATCGCACTCGAGCATAGCGTGAAGGAAAGAGACGTAACGTAGACATACTGATTCGAGCATATGAGTCCAACGTGGCAACATTGGTAGTGCTCAGTAGGTCAGCGGAGGAGGAAGAATAAGAATTTATCGTGAGAAATTCCTCGCGACGAAACCGAACGCTTGCTTAGCGCCGGCCGGCGCCTCCCCGTTAGGTTGCATCTTGGGCGACCGGCGCGCGGCGGCGTAGTTCAGAGAGGCAGTATGACAGAATCTATACGCGTCGTTAAACCTTTTTCCTTCACGCTAACCTAACATATGACACATGAAATCTCATCAATTTTTCACGAGGAATCCGAATCTGAGCTTAGATTTTGGATATTACGCGTTTTAATCTATTTAAAATCGTAAGAGAATTTACAGAATTGTCCTTGAAAATTGATCACACATTAGTGTTTTTTTACGTCATTAAACCTCTTTCCTTCACGCTATTCTAACATATGATGCATAAAATCTCATCAATTTTTCACGAGAAATCCGAATCTGAGCTTAGATTTTGGATATTACGCGTTTTAATCTATTTAAAATCGTAGGAGAAATTACAGAATTGTCCTTGAAAATTGATCACACATTAGTGTTTTTTTACGTCATTAAACCTCTTTCCCTCACGCTATTCTAAAAGTTGATGCATGAAATCGCATCAGTTTTTCACGAGGAATCCGAGTCTGAGCTTAGATTTTGGATATTACGCGTTTTAATCTATTTAAAATCGTGGGAGAAATTACAGAATTGTCCTTGAAAATTGATCACACATTAGTAATTTTTTACCCCGTTTTTCTTCTACGTTCACGTAATGAAATTAGATCAACAGTTGACTCATCGACTAGTCTGGCCTAACCCGCCAGAATCGGTCGAAAGGGCGAACGATTTTATCAGATAAGATGTGCGGTCCTAGTTTCCGGGCAATTGCGGTTTGACGGAAGCTGCGATGAGGAGAAACGGAAGATATGCGAAACTCGAGCGGATATTAAGTGAGAAACCAGGTAGGGGAAAGGATTTCTTCCCAAAAAGTTAGTGCTCGGGCCAACTTACATGGTCACTGGAGCATTGTATAGCAGGTTGTGGAAAACTATTTTTTTGCAGCAACAACCAATTAGATCGCAATTTGCAAAAAGGAACTAAGAGCATTTCAAAGTTGCTGGGATTGTGCAACTTAGGTACATTCTTTGCAAAAAGTAGACTTTGCGACGGTAATTTTCGTCTTGAATTCATGGTTTATTGGGAGTAGAGGTGAAACTAGTTTAGATGATCGTTTATGTTTGCAAGGTTAGCGACATTGGAATGCTCTTGCTATTGATGACTAGTATTGCTAAGTTACATCGATCAAGGTCATTAAATCCGCAGGTATTAGCACAAATAGTTTTATCAATGCAATGAATGAAAATTAAGAACCCACGGTGTCATCTCATGAAGAACAAAAAATCAGAAAACTCGTTAAATACCGTTCGATTGGGGCTGGATAACCTTTCACACACGGCACCACACCACTTTCGCTCCTGCGACTCGGTGATGCAATCGAGCGGTAAAGATGGGACGGGACGATAGGAAGATCGGCAAGGTTATCAGGCTGTGCTATAAATTGTGTACAATTTACACGGGCTGAATGGGGAAAATTGCTGATTTTCAGCACTATCTGACAACTACGAAGAACGGAAAATACCGATCCGAGGACCGAGGCAGGCGTGGCGAGTTTCTGATGAGATGCGGTGCATGTAAAATATAGGATGCATTCTGTGTCAGACGCGCTTGCAAATGGACCTATTTCTGCCAAACGGAACTATGTGCGTTATGACGTGAGCCCTGTTACACATACGTTCTTATAGGTCTCAGGGCTCATGTCTTAATGCATGTAGTTCTGTTTGGCAGAAATACGTCCAAATGGAGTCGCGGCGTAAAGCAAAACCGTTCCGAAAATTGTTTCTTTTTTTGTCAAGTCGAGGAGCAGTCGCGGCGGGAATACGGAATGAGCTCGGTAAGATCTCGTTTTCCTCTTTTGAGCGTCTGACATGACCATGCTTGATACCCCCTTCCGAACCGATAATCAGACCGACCCTCTCGCTGCACATTTTGAATAAGATGCACCCTTGAGGTAAATGCACCAGTGATTGGCGTGTTAAGGAACTTTGCTAACTTAAAATTATTATATGGATGGCATTTTGCGAAAAGGAGCAAAGAGCATCCCAATGGCGCTAAGATTGTGCAACTTTTTTACCTTGCAAATATAAACTGATCATCTTAAAACTATGAATTCATGACGAACATTACCTTCGTAAATTAAATTTGTGCATGGTTTCATTAATTTTTTGCAAAGAATTGATTTGCGCAATCCTAGCAACATTGGAATGCTCTTGGCTCCTTTTGGCAAAATGCAATCCATTTTGAACAAGATGCACTTCTGAGGTAAATATACTGGTAATTGGCATGTTAAGGGAGTTTGCTAACTTGCAATTCTTATATTTCTTAAAATACTTATATCCTAAGATTGAAACCTTTGATGCTATTGAAACTGTACTTATATGTCGCAGGCAATCAGCAATCGCCGGCAATTTGCAAGCTCCGTACTTGTCAATTCGTCAAATTGCAATTAAGTGACATCGATGTAGTAAAGGTTTCTTCAGCAAAGAGACGCAAGGCACGACCTCAGCTTGGAACGCCTTCAAATCCAGCGATACTCTCAGCTTTGCCGCAGAGTTAGTTTAGTTGCTTAACCAAACCAAACCCAACGCAGATTATTGATTACATTTCACGAACTCGCGAGTGTGCTAGCTGGTACCATGCATTCAAGAAGAAGAGGATGACGTATGTTTGAATTCAAAGCATAGTAATCACTACTTCCTATCTCGTTTTTACTTTTTTCACTTTAAATTTTTTTTAATTAGTTGATTCAACACGAATAGATTTGTCGGCGATTGCTCATTGCCTGCGACACATTCATTCCCCGATTCATTTTTTTTTTTTTTTTTTTTTTTTTTTTTTTTTTTTTTTTTTTTTTTTTTTTTTAAAAGAACGTGTCCGTACTTGGACCGTGTTTATCAGAAAGATATCAAGCCACATCAGCTATTGTCAAAATTTAACTAGGCAATTTAATTTTTTACACGAGAACTGTTGTGCGGATTTCTTTGAAAATTCTAAAGAATTCGCTTCACACTATGCAGAAAATTCACGGAAAGCGAAAAAAATCCCGACAGCCATACAAAAAATTAAATTATCCAAATAAATTTGGAAATAGCTGATAACGCTTGGATTCTTTTTGC